ATTATGGTTTAGTGAAACTGCCAGATTTCTTACCTTAGAATAAGAATAACTTCAATAATAACTATAGGAATTGGCATAACAAAGAGAAAGAGAATAATCTCATAAAAATAGTAATATTATTAATATCATTTAGGTATCATTTAACCTGATATCAGAAAAGACACTAATGAATTAAATGATACCAATTCTTCTCCAAAAGCAACCATCTAAACGTAACCTATTGTAGAATAACCAAATGAAGATGGTGAACAAGATCTTATCAAAAATGATATAAATTAAGATGCTTAATAAATTGATCAAGAACCTCTTGAATAATAACAAGATATAAATGTTAATACTATTGAATAATAAGAATTGGATCAAGTCTAATCAATTGGAGATGGAGCTGTTCTCGATCTCTAAGAAGATATTCAAACTATTCTCAATAACAATCAAGAAAAACCAGACTAAATTGATATCTCAGAATTATATGTACACCAATTTAGAAATCAATATGCATTAATCTTGCATCCATTCCCATTAATGGATGGTTAGATGTTGTTATGCAAACCTATTGAGAATCATATAAATGATTATAGTTGTATTAAAAGAGGAAGAATAAATTCATATAAAAAGAGTAGTGCATAATCAAATTGTGAAGGATTGTATGAACATTAATTAGATATATTTAAATCAATAACAATATAAGATTGTGAGATTGTTACAAAAATAATAAATAAATGTGATGCTTTGGCTGTTTTGAATATACTACCATAAGATTTAGAATCATTTTTACCATTGTCTAATGGACATTATTCAATAGTTCTTAGATAACATGCTGAATTGAATAAAGTGAATAAAAAACTATTTAAATTTTTGAATGAAAAAAAAGTATAAGTAAACTATAAATAATTGATGCCAATTGAAGAGTTTATACTTGATTAAAGAAGTTAATGTTATGAAGTTTAAAGGGAAATATTTAAACGTAAATAATTAATGTTATATTTAGTTAAATCTTTGGATATTCAACATTACTTTGCATTTCCATCATAAATTCTAACCGCAGAATCTGTGATGGATATCATTTTAAAAATTTTATCAATAATATTGGATAATGATTAAAGTATAATAATTATTGATATTTAGCTGCTGCATTGAAAATGGGATTTAATTTGTTAATAAGTAAGCACATAATATTTTTATGTCCAACATACTCTAATTATGATAATATAGATGGATTTAAATTACATCTTTAGGCATTTACAGCTATGGGTTTTCTAAATCTACCAACTGGAAGTTCATCAATCAATTTCTTTGATTTATTGTAAAAAGCGTAGGAAAAAGTCTAATAATGATCAATATCAAAAATTATATATAATAAATCATCTAAATTAATACTCCCCACAGTAGATATAATCTATATCATNTTATCAAAAATGATATAAATTAAGATGCTTAATAAATTGATCAAGAACCTCTTGAATAATAACAAGATATAAATGTTAATACTATTGAATAATAAGAATTGGATCAAGTCTAATCAATTGGAGATGGAGCTGTTCTCGATCTCTAAGAAGATATTCAAACTATTCTCAATAACAATCAAGAAAAACCAGACTAAATTGATATCTCAGAATTATATGTACACCAATTTAGAAATCAATATGCATTAATCTTGCATCCATTCCCATTAATGGATGGTTAGATGTTGTTATGCAAACCTATTGAGAATCATATAAATGATTATAGTTGTATTAAAAGAGGAAGAATAAATTCATATAAAAAGAGTAGTGCATAATCAAATTGTGAAGGATTGTATGAACATTAATTAGATATATTTAAATCAATAACAATATAAGATTGTGAGATTGTTACAAAAATAATAAATAAATGTGATGCTTTGGCTGTTTTGAATATACTACCATAAGATTTAGAATCATTTTTACCATTGTCTAATGGACATTATTCAATAGTTCTTAGATAACATGCTGAATTGAATAAAGTGAATAAAAAACTATTTAAATTTTTGAATGAAAAAAAAGTATAAGTAAACTATAAATAATTGATGCCAATTGAAGAGTTTATACTTGATTAAAGAAGTTAATGTTATGAAGTTTAAAGGGAAATATTTAAACGTAAATAATTAATGTTATATTTAGTTAAATCTTTGGATATTCAACATTACTTTGCATTTCCATCATAAATTCTAACCGCAGAATCTGTGATGGATATCATTTTAAAAATTTTATCAATAATATTGGATAATGATTAAAGTATAATAATTATTGATATTTAGCTGCTGCATTGAAAATGGGATTTAATTTGTTAATAAGTAAGCACATAATATTTTTATGTCCAACATACTCTAATTATGATAATATAGATGGATTTAAATTACATCTTTAGGCATTTACAGCTATGGGTTTTCTAAATCTACCAACTGGAAGTTCATCAATCAATTTCTTTGATTTATTGTAAAAAGCGTAGGAAAAAGTCTAATAATGATCAATATCAAAAATTATATATAATAAATCATCTAAATTAATACTCCCCACAGTAGATATAATCTATATCATCATCCCATGTAGTATATTATTTGTCTATTCTATATAGATCCAATATTCTAGAATCATATATATATTGACAATTGTATAAAGCTTAGATCAAACCGGTTTCATCAATTATTTAATTTAAAAATTCAGGTTCTGTTTTGTAAATTTAACTTTATTTGATGATAAGATTTTGATCATATTTGTTTTGTTAATGTTGAAATTTGTTTTTGGTTTACTAATTAAAATTGATATCAAATTGCATAGGATTTGATCTCCTTCTTAAATTATCATTTTCATCTCCTTTTTGATAAGTAATCAATTCATTCTCAACTTAATTTAAGATTTCTTCAATTTGTTCTTAATTGGATAATAAATCTTCTCTATTTTCTAATCCATTTCGATTTGTTTCTTCTGATTATCTTCTATTATCACTAGATTTTTCTTAATCTGACATTTAATCACTAACCAATTAACCATCAGTATTTATTCTACAATTTTTTTTATCAATTTATTGACCATTAGCACCAAAAATGGCATTTTTTCTGATTATTAATTTTGCGTCTCTCCTAACTTTTCTCTTTGTATCTGTGCCTTTGTCTGCTGTTCCATTTTCACTTGGTTAATCTTCATCATCTGAATAATTAATATTAATATTCTTCTCTTTAGGATCAGTGATATCTTCAATACTTAATTTGGTATATTTACGAGGAATTTAATTTTTAGATTCTCCTTTGAAATCTTATTTAATAGTTTTGCGTTTTTATTTTTATGAATCAACTTTTGTTTGTTAAATTTATAATAACTCTAAGGGATTGATTAACTTTGATTATCTAGACACAGAAACCTTAATAGTTCTGTTTTATTATGCATTTCTTTTGGTTTAACTGACAGCTGCAGACACTTCTGATAAGTTTTCACAAGATTAATGAGAGGTTGTATTATATTAATCTTGATCACTTAACTAATCTGACATTAGTTGCATAATTTAACTTTGTTCAGCTGCATTGAATGAGTCATCAAAATTAAGTAAATTGATTCTGTTAGTTCGTTATAATTTATTTGGTTAAAATAATTATATTAACATTTCTATTCTATTTTGAAATTCAACATCTGGTTCTGCTTGTGGTAATATATAATAATCATTATAATCTTAATTTAAAAGTATAAATTCTTTTCTTAATTTTACTAATGTAATAACAACTTACTTTTTATCGATTTATCTAACATAGCCTTTATGGTTTTGCAATAACTTCTCTACTTAATTATATATCTCCATAATTTTTTCTCTTATTTCAATTCTCTTAGTTTTATTTTATTACTGAGGTTTTATCAAGTAATTAGGATACAAGTCTAAATCAGGTGCGCTTCTACGAGGATCTCTAGATATCATAAAATTATTTTAGAAGTTCTCATTGCTACTATTACGCATACGCTTTAGACCACTTTCTTTATTTTTAGTTGAAGGTGCAACATCAAGTGGCTTATATAAGCAATTAAACATTTCACCATCATTAAGAGGTGTTTATTCTATTTTCATTATACTAGAATAATGATAATAGGATGAATTTTTATGATGAGTTGAATGTAAAGGAGTTGTTGGTTATAACATTTTAGAAATTGGAGATTGAGTTGGATTTAAAGATCTAGTTTTTGAATGTCTAGTAGATCTTTCACGAATATGACTCATAGCTAATTGAGGCAATTTAATCTTAGTTACTGTAGCTTTAGACTTTATTATCATTATATCAAAATAAATTATATTCTCATTATTAAACTTTAAGAAACTATTATTATCTCATTAAATATGATTCTCTCTTATCTCTTTTATTAGAATATATAATATCAATCACTATACCATTAATATAACCATCTTAGTTTTATTCCATTTAATAATTTTATAATGCAAGATTTCAAAAGAACTAAACTTGAGACTTCTTGTAATGAAATTTAAAGCCAATTTAATTAGATAATTCATAAAGAACAGATGATTTTTCTATCATCAATGGTCCAACTGATACAATCAAGTAAAGTGATAAAAAATTTGATGAATAAGCTAGTGAAACATCAGAATACTAAGAAAAGTAAAAATATACTTCTTTAATTAGTAAATCATCTTCATTCAAATAACCTTTGCCAATAATTCAATAAAACATTGAAAAATCAGAATATGAATCACAAATTGTTGAAAATTTAGGAGATTCATATCCTGGATCTGAAATAAAAGCTCTGATTGAGTAAAAAAAATAAAGAGATCATAAGCCTGTATGATTCTATAATTTCTATAATAGATTTAATTAAATATTATGGTAGTTGGTTAATCAGGATTAGGCAAATCAACATTTATTGATGTACTTTTGAAAAAGAAACTTGGGACATCTTAAATCATAAGAGATTCTACTTTATAAATTTAAGCAATATAGGGTATATATTATATAATGAGAAAAGGTTCAATAAATGTAAATGATTTTACTTTGAACATCAAATTTATTGACACTCCTGGTTTCAGACATCAATATAGTCTAAGATAATGGTTAAAATTATTAAGTAGATATATTAAAACTTAATTTAATTGTTACTAATAAAGATAAAATTTATAATATGAAAGCAAAGAGAAATTTTAATAATTATCATAACAAGATTTAGATGAAAGAGTTCATGTATGTTTTTACTTTTTCTCTGGGCCTAGAATTTAAACTGAAGATTTATAAGCATTAAAAAAAATAAGTGCATTAGTTAATGTTATCCCAATATTAGCCAAGGGAGACTCTTATACTAAAAATGAGATTATCTAATTAAAATAACAATTTAATGATTTGATAAATGAATATCATATTGATCTTTTTAAATGCCAATGCAATAATAATTTAAATGAGAAAAGTTAATTTGGATCAACTCCTCCTTTTGTCATTATAAGTTCAATCGAACAATTTCAAATTGGAAATCATCTTGTATATGGAAGGTAAACATTAATTAATTATTATTAGAAAATTTCCATGGGGAATCTGTGATATTTTTAATCCTTAACACTCAGATTTGGTTATCCTATATAAATCTCTAATTGGACACTATTGTTTAGAATTAATTCGATTAACTGATTTCCTGTATAATAATTAGATCTAAAAATAGAAATAGAAATTGAAGATGAAACAATAAAATCTCAATTGGTTAACTAATTTATTAAGTTAATTATTTAATCTATGAACTTTGATTAAAAATTTAAATTGTCAAAATCAAAAAATTATTTATTTATATTATTAATATATAAGAAATAAGCAATTGATTCAGAACTGCTCTTCTTACTTTTTCTCATTTGAATCCTTCTCTTTTTCTTACTTCAAATAATTTAAATTTAATCTGTGAGTATTTCCAGCTGTGTATTTTGGACTTATCTATTTCCCACTATTTTATTTAGGTTTAGGATTCGATAATCTCACTGGTCTATCTGGAGTCCATTCTGGTAATGTTCTTGGAACATAACTATATTAAGCTAATTTTTATGATTGAAAATCATCCAATTTATATCTAATATATTTATCAACAATACCTAATTGTTTATACTCTCTTTGATACATTCTAAGAATCACCATCTACAAATGATTATTTATTTGATGTATTCTGATATAATCTCTTTTAAGTTACAAAACCAGCCAAACCTCGCTAATCTTAAGATGTTGGTCTATCAAATGTTCTTACTTATTATTATCTTTGATCTCTTTCATTCTAAAATAATTCAGAAATATAAGATTAGAGATCACCTTTCATTCTATTTGCTTTTTAAGATTTTCTTTCCTCTTACATTTACCTTTCTTCATAGGGAGACTTTAATTATTATTATGGATTAGGAGCATAGTTTCTTAAATTATGTGCCGCCTTCTAAGGGGATATTTAAATCTAAGATTCAACAATAAATGAAGATTTAACTGATAATTGACTATTTCCTAAAGATCCTTTATTTTAAAGACTACTTTAAAGCAAATTACCACTACTTCCAAAACTTGCCTTATTTTTCTAATATGCAGGTGTCTAATCAATATAACTTCTCTTTGCTTTAGATGGATTACTACCTTCTTTATCCTCATTATTTATTTATTAAAGTTTATTAATTTACAATTCTTATGTTTTTATTTCAGACTTCTTTGCTATAAATTATGCAAAACAATCTTATTCATTTTAAACTACATCTTATTTATCTTTCTATTTCTACCCTTCACTTACTAATGTATCTAATCTTTCTTATAATTTTTCTAATGTTTCATCACTCTTTGTTATTAATTATACTCTTTTATTTGGTGCTGAATCTAATCCTCTTTAGGCTTCTTTAGGCATCTCTCCATTATCTAACATTGTCAATAATTATAGCTTCTCATTTATGATTTATAATTTATGATCATTTTATTTTTGTTTGTATTCCCATTATTCCCAAGCTTTCGTAAAATTATCTTCATTTAATATAGTATCTTTCAATACTTAAGTTCTAGATTATTTATAGTTTCATAAACTTACAAATCCAATCCTTTTCCAAAATCTCCAAAATCTTCTATTGCTAACACTTCTTTCCCTTCTTTACATAATTATTTAAAAGCTTCTGAAGGATTTTTGAATTTCTATTACAAATTTTTCTTTAATAGAACCCATTAATTTAAAATTCCTTAACTTTTCTCTATCTCTTACTTCTATTATGTTAACTGCTCAATTTCAGACATATTAAAATTTATTTCAATTAAAAATAAAAATTTAATTCCAAACAATATTTCTAATTATTTCTATTAATACCTTAATATATCTAATTTAAATGTTTTTTATTAATTGTTTACAAGAAAAACAAATATATTGATTTGATTTTATACATTAATATAAGTCCATTAAATTTAATATGACAAATTAAAATGTAGAAAATCCATTAATTAATATTAAATACAATGTAAAGTACAAATTTGGAGCGAAATTTTGTAAATGAAAATTCGATTTCCAAATACTTAAAATGTACAATTTGTTCAGCTGTTTTTAGTGAACCAATCAGATTAAAATGTGGGTAAATATAATTTTAATGAAGCCATACTTTTTGTAAGAAATGTATTTCTTAATGGTTAAATGAACATTCAAGTTGTCCAGAATGTAGATCAGATGCTAAACAAAAGAACTTCTAAAGTATGTTTGAAATATACATTTTTTAATAGTTGATCGAATTGCTGCAGGTATTATAAGTGAATTGGATGTTTATTGTTCAAATAAAGTTTATGGATGTAAATGGAAAGGTGTTTTAGATAGATTAGCAGTACATTAAAAGAAATGCTCTGCTAAAACAGTAGCAGAATAACTTAATTTGAAAATTAATTCAAATAATGAGACAGATGAAGATGAAGAACTTGCATAATAAAATGATCCAGGAAATCTAGTTACAAGAATTAATGTTTAGTTAAAAGATAAAAAAGTAATAATTGATGCATTAAAATCGTCTGGTGAAAATACAAAAGATAATAATTTAGAAGATGATGATCCTTTAGCATTTTTAGATTAATTACAATAATAGTTAGATAAATCTCCCTTAGCAGAAAAAAGAATAATAGATTTCAGTGAAGAAGATCTACCTAAATAACAACGTGAAAGAATATAATAATAATAATAAAATTTATGATATCTCATCCATTTATAAATCTATTATATGTGTTTAATTTTTAAATCTATTATTTTTATTACTACTTTAAATCTTCTATTTTAATAAGGAAAGGATCTTTTAATACATTTAACATATCAAAGTAATTAAATTAAGATCTTTTAATTCTTTATAAAAATTGCTTGTACTCTTGTGTAATTTGAATTTATTAAGGTATTAGTAAAGATAAAAGTGCTTAAAACTCATAAAATTATAAAACTGTTGATGTATGAGCTGTAAAAAACATCTTAAATTTTTCAGCAAAAGAACCTCTTAATAAAATACTTAAACAAATAAGAAATTCTCTAAAATCTAAGAGTTCTGATTTATTTTCATCAAATAAATTAAAAACTAATTTAAATTATTCTTAATCTAAAGGAGAATCTGAGATTTCCTTTTGTTAAAATATATCCTATATATATCTAGATAAATGAGTATTATTACCATATAATAAATAAATGTTTCAAAGTTGATTCCATATTTTTAAAGTTTAAATTATTAGATAATTAATTATTGTCTATATTCATCATCTTCTTCATCTGATGAATCAGTCAATTGAGCTAGTTATTTTATACTTTATCTTTATTATTAATTAATTTAAACAATCTTTTGATCTAAACAATTCTTTTTAAATTCAATTTGTAAAGATGCAATTTCATCAACTTCGAAATTGGATATATTTTTTAATTTATTTAAGATATTGGAATCATTACTCACCCAAGAACGACTTGTTTTTGAGTAAAATTATTCAATATAAATTATTCTTTCAAATTTTGTAAAGTAAATATTTTCATTTTAAAATATTTCAATTAAATTAGTATAATAAACAACTAAGTTAAATATAGTAAATATATTTACATTTTCCAAGAATATTGAGAGGTTTTGATGACATTAGATCAACATTTTTAATAACAGCAGTCTTCAATGTATATAAGACAGCTTTATCAATAGGAATAAATGATTTGATTTTAAACATTTCCTTCCAAGTCACTAATAATGAACTAATATTTAAGACTTATATCATTAAAGTTAATAAGAATTAGGGTCCTTAAAGCTCAACAAATTTAACTAATTTTGTTTTCTCTTAAAAATCATTGACTAGAATCATTTCTTTAATAAAATTAATTTCAGCTTAATAACCAATTAAGGATGCTCCAGAAGAGCTTGAAAAGAATCTAAATGGTATAATAACACTAAATAGATGATTCATAATATGAAATGCTCCTTCTTCATCTGATAAACATAAGCAAATAGTAGCTATAAAACTCATTCCTTAACAATAACCAATAGTTGGATGATGAACTATAAATAATTCTAAAACTCGAATTATTGAACTCCTAATCTATTAAAGTGTTTGTCCTTATTAACATTAAGTTACAAATTCTCTTATACTATAATTTAACAGATGTGCATCAGATCTTCCAGTAAGAATATCCTTTTCAATATTTTATTTTTCATTGAGCTCTAAAGGCTATTATATTTTAATCTTTCTCTTCTTCTCTCCTAACAATATGTTAAAGAAAAGAGATTTAGTATTCCATTATAAGTTGTATTTAGTTATTAAGTCTTAATAATACAGATAATCTTTATAACAATTATCACAAACTCTTTATGGTTTATCAAAATCTTATACCATTTCATTTGGTATTGAATATAACTATATTTAAAGATCTTAATATACTTTTATTCGATTAGTACTACAAGACATGCAAACACTTTAATGACACTTTTTACAGTAACTTGAAAAACGCATAAGCCTAAAACAATAAAAGCATTAATACAATATTTAAAGACCCTTTGAACATACACAACATTTCTGTTTATCAAATATATTCATTTATAGTTAATAAATATATTAAATTACCCGGGAAGAATGTATATAGAAGAATTTTCTAACCAACTAAATTTAGATCAAGAAACTTTAGAGAAAGCGAAAACAGCAATGCAACAATTTTCAGATTAAGATGAGAAAGTATATTTCTTTAGAAGATTTTAGATTTACGTTCCTGCTGTTGTATATTTGTGTAGTCAAAGCTGTCAAATTTAACAAATTGATGGATAAACAAAACAAGGCAATGGAATAACACTTACATAAGTATTTTAGTAATAGCATTATAGATCATCCGTAATTTAGATCCTTAAGCTGATATTGAGCAGTTCTTAATGGTTTTACAGGATCTACCTACTCTTTTAAAGTATCATTCCACAGAATTCGATAATGTTGTCAGATAAGCTAATTTTAGCTTTAGATTGTACAAAAAGTTTGACAAATGCTTTAGTCTCATTCAGTATACTTATTATATTACATATTAAATAGGCCAGTGTAAAATCCAAGTTAAACTCCATAATTTAAAAAAGAAGATGATTGTGATCCCTATATATCAGACTTAAAGAAAGTAGCCTGGATTCTCTGCATAATAGTTCGATAGAATATAGTACAATATGAGGAACAGCTAGATAATAATTAAATCATTTTCTCTGATCCAAATATTAAAGTCATTTTGATTCTAGTTGGATCTTTATCCATTGTATTTTAAAATTTACCAAATACATTCACATAAAATGTAGCAGATATTTCATAAAAAATGCTGTCTTTTTTTTGCAATGATTAAAATGAATGGGATGAAGAATTAAAATATTACTAGGATTTATGTTATAAATGTATAAATTAAGTTGTAAATGTGATGTAGCATAAATCTAAAGTCTTAGATATGTAATAAGTAACTTAAGAAAATTAAGTTCCTATTTTATTTGAAGAGAAAACAATAGATTAAACCTATAAAAGATTACATAAATATTATGAGAAGACAAGAAAGCATTCAGATTTGGATGAAGAATGTTTTTTGAGATAAAGGATAGTTTTTACTCCTAAAAAAGATATCAATAAATAAACAGATTATTCAGAGTTTGAAACATTGTAAAAGAAAACTAAAATAAAAAGTGATCCTCCTTTTATGTAAACACCTCTCAAAGACAACAAATTCTCTAATACACAAGAAAAAACATATTTTGACATAAAAAAAAATACAAATCCATAAACTCCAATTAGTAAATGTATGGAATTACATTAATGGATTAAAAAAATAACAATCTAAAGTTATAAATGTTTTGATGATGACAATCAACAAGAATTTTATGATTAAGCAACGACAAAAATTAGAAGATTTTTTGAAGTTACAGAAGCATCCAAATCTTAAAAATAAAATGAACAAGAATAAACTATAATAACATTATGTATAGCTGTCATAGATTCATTAATGAAATCAAATGAAGGGTAGTTTGATTTTAAATTGCTTAAAAATTAAAAATTTCAATTTGCAATTTTAGGCTTATCATTATATACTTACTAAATTGTAATTTAAAAACCAAACATTTTATAAAACATGAAATAGCTCTGTACAATTTTTGAAATAAGTCCTTTAGATTTATTCAGAGTAATTGCTAATTTTGCTCATTTTAATAAATAGATGCCTTCTACCATTACTTAATAACTTTTTGAGTTAGAAAAACACATTTTATTCAATTTAATGTGGTAAACAGACACAGAGAAATTAATCGGGATCTTTAAAGATAGTATATAAAATTTGTTATAATCTTAGGTTCTCAAAAATATTTCGATTAAGAATTAGTAAGAAGATTTTAAAATCATTTAGCATTAAGAGTGAAAGAACTTTGTAAAATACTTCAATTAGATATTCATGATTTTGCTTATTAGGCAATATCTGAATTTATGAAGAATCCAAAATTAGAAGTTTTAAAGGACACAATTATCGATACTATAATTATATGCACATTCTATATCATTTAAAAACATCAAAAGCAAAGTCCATCTTTCAACTCTTTTAACAAAGTAATATATACAAATTAATTTTAGCTTTATAATCAATATTACTCGTAATAAAAGTAAGTATTCACACATATTGTTGAGTACTATAATGAAAGATTTTTGAATGGATTTAGAGATATTGTTAAATCAATATCAAATGCTCAACCTATTCAAATACCAGAAAGTTTTGAACGCCAAAGTCCTTTAATAAAATAAGTCCCTGTATCTCCTATTTATAACAGTAAATATATTGCAACTCCAGAACCATCCTCCACTCAAAAGTCCTTCATGCGTGACTTAGTGTCAAAGATATAACCATAATAATAACAATAATAAAAATAATAAGACATTCAACCTTTCCAAAGTTGATTTTATATTTTATAAAGCAATCAAAGAACTTCTGCTAAGATATTTTGATTTTTCTCCATCTCTTTAATAGCTGGTCTAAAAAATTAAAATTATATTCCTTGCAACATAATTCCCATATATGTTAAAATAACTCTCTCTGTTTACACCTTCCATATATGAGTATATTGTAACTTCATGGAATTGTTTTAGCATAGCACTCTAAATTAAAAATAATATTACATCCCAGTGTGACACAGATGTATAAAACAAAAGGAATATAATGCATTTAAGAAGCTTTCTTTTTCTCTAGAAAGCTATTTGCATAAGTAAAATAAACCACATTCAACAAAAATGATAAATCCATCAATGTTTCATGCTAAAATAACTAAGTTGGCATAGTTTGGAGAATAATTTCAATAAGTAAAAGTAAATGAGCAACTTATCCTGCTAAACAGATTGTTGGATTAAAATTCATTTTATGTTTCTTCTTTGTCAAAAACGGCAAAGTTCCCATCTCCTTATTTGTAAATGATCTCTTAATTATTTCTGATATTATTATGCCAAGTATACAAAGACCACACATACAAACCTCTTACTTAATTTAATAACTTACAATCAACCCAACATTATATGATAATGGATCATCATAAAAAAAATAAATCCGATCTTCTTCTGGCAAATTTGATAGAGCAATCAAAAAACTACAGATGCTTAGAGAACAATATATCGTAGGTTAACTACTTAAAATCAAAGTCTTTTAATTATAGTGCTATGATTCTCTTATTGAAGAAAATAAAGAAACTCTATCATCTGGCAAAATGTCATAATTATAGGTCTCTTTCGCATCTCTTTTCACATAAAATGCAATTATATCATCCTTTTTCATTGCAGATTTTCTAAATATGTTATTTAATAAAATAAACTATTTATATAAACTTTTTTTGTCTAATTCTTAATTATGAAAATTAAATATACTCTTAAAAACTAATTCAAAAGGTATCAACGATGTTTATTTAATAAAATATATCTGCTAGGTACGCTTAATCCTAAAAGGCTTGTGCAACCAATTATTGACATCTAGGCATATTTGAAATATTTTTATTTATCCTATTCATAATTAATATAATAGTTGTATTATCTCAAAATTAATAATCCTGACAATAATATGCTGGTTGTTATAGGGAAAAAAAATCCACTTATTGACTTATTAATTAAATATTATACATAATTTATAAAGTGTGCCATTTAATATTAAAGAAAATCCTTTTAGAAATCATTCGGTTTCTATTAAGAAAATTAAAGAGTTGAAAATGTCCAATGAGCTTATGTGAATAGGCCTGTCATTGTTATGATAACAATTCCATGAGATTTTGTTAAAACTCCTTTAATCATTTTGGAATAAATAATTATTTCAATTTTTTTATGTTTTATCATTTTTTTATACTTATATGAATTTAATTTTAAGTTTGGATGGTTTTTTAGTAACATAAGGACCTATATTTTTGTTTTGTTCTTGATTCTCTTCTATATCCCCTTTATTCAAATCCACTGGTATATAAACCTAATTTAATACTGGCATGCTTTATTTAGCTTCATCAGAAGAAGATCTTAAACTTTTAGTATTATTTAATTAAGACACTAATATTTTCTTAAGGATAGGTTGAGGTTATATATCTTAAACTATCTTATTCAAATCCAATTTCTAATTAAAATTATGTTGAATGATATTCCCAATACTTAATAGTTTGCTCTGAGATTGATGTACATTTGTTTCTTTTTGATTTTATAATATAGTTTAAAATTAATTATGTTCTTATTAATTATGCTTTTCCAATTAATCTTCTTTAGAAAAAGACGACTTACATTCAAGACATATATAAATTTGTAAATCATTCAAATGCTCGTTCCTGATGTGGCTTAGGCAAGTTTGCTAATCCTGTATGGTTTGATGACATTCTTTACACTTTTAATCTTTTTCAAAATACAATTTCAATAATCCTTAATGAAGTTTCTAATACAGATCATCATTGTAATCCTTAGAATAAAATTACTTTAATGCTTAAACTTGATTGATTGAACCCCGCCTCATTTTTTATTTGATATGATAATAAAAGCGTGATATTAATTTGCGAGCAATCTCTTTTACATTAACTGCTTGTTCTTGTTAGGGATCATCTGCATCAATTATTATTTCCAAACTAGTTTCATCATGAATAATGATTACAGGGTTCTCTGTCGCTTTCTATTTTTTTACATCTGTATTTTTTTCGATGTCGAAATTTTGTTTTTTCATAAGGGTATCAAGAATATCTAATTTATTATTAAGTTTAGAAATGTTTTTGTGGCATTTCTTAACCTTTGTTAGAATTTCAGTTCTGTTTATTTGAGATTGCATTAAAAATAATTAATAATTGTGAATTTACAGATTTCATACAACTATGTTTATATAATTAAATTAGCTAAACCAGTTCATTTTTTAAAATTACCATAAAATAGTATTATTCAAAAGAAATGTATCAAATTGATTAAGTATTAAAAAAAATCATTAACTGAATTTCACTCTTTTATTAGTGTTTACTTTTTAATTTATAATAAACTTAAAAAATGATAACTCTCAATTAAGCCATTAAGTATAAATAAATTAATCAACATTTTAATCAAAATAGTTTTTCTATGGCTGTTTTAGGTTCTCTAAATTTAGAAAATTCTCTCAATTTAAAAGTCGATTAAAGGACTAGTCTACAATCTGGAGCTGGCAAGACTTGTTAAATTAAGAAATCATATAACAATTTTAATTCTTTATCTTCTTAATTATCATAATATGGAATTATAGGAATGCCATTTTCTAAGTGTCTACCAAATGAATAAGCAGCATTGTCTACTAAAACTATATCTTTTAAATCTCGTTTGAAAATTCTCAAATCTTTTACATGGACCCCCTCTGATGATATTACACATCCATCCCTAAATACCTAAGCTGAAAGTAATTAATTATTTGGGTCTAAATGTGAAATCACTTGACTTGCATAACATTAATGTGAAGCAGTAAATACAATTACTTCACATACTTTACTAAGTTCGATTAGTATCCATCTAGCATAAGGGCGTATGTTTATTCCTGCTAAAACTGTATCTCCTGTAGGAAATCTGATTGGTAGATGCACGTCAGCTTTAAGAAATTAGTTTTCATTACAATGAATTAAAGTCTCATCTAAATCAAATACAACTGTCTTTTAAACTATTTATATATTATGATCATCTTACATTTACAATTTTATTTACGAGGAATATCTATCGCTTTTGATCTTAAGATTTAAGGATCTGGATCTTTTAAATTCAAGCAAAACCCAATACAATTATAAGTTTATATAGCATGATCTTTAAACAATTACTGCTCAAGTGTTTGAGGATTTTAATATTTAAAAGTTTCAATTAGAGATGTTACATAATATATCTATTCTAATTTAAATATACTACTACAATTACTTTTCTAATATTATGATTGAATCCTACTTGTTGGGGATAATGATTTAGTTTATTTTAAAGGAGATATCAAACTCTTTGCAGGTTAATTTATTTAAGTAACAAAGTCATCTAAACTTACTTTTAAATTGTCTTTTTTTGGTGGATCTTCTATTTTATTAATTTTAGATGTTAATTATGAAACAAATTATTAATTTGAAGTAAATCTTTAATCAATTGATAATGGATTATATTTTTTTTATAGTTGTTATGAAGTTACAATAGGTTGAATTTTTGAAGTAAGAATAGGTGTTCCAGGTTTCTCTAATTAAGAGAAATTACGATGTAAGATGTTATTTTGTTCTGGAAAAACATATGAATTGTTTGAGATTTTGACCTGTTCTTAGCCATTATTTTTTTAATACAGGAAATATTTCATCTTAAAAATAAATCATGTAGATGAAATACATCTTAGGTACTTTTGCATGATAATGGCGTATTGTTCTTTGGAATAGTGGTGGTTAATATTAAATGCTAATTTTGCAAGTGTTATTAAATAAGTTCATGCTCTGTATTTTTTGTTTACAATTTACCAAAGTTATACATATTAGTTAAAGCTTGGAATTACTCACTAGAGAGTTTATTGTTATGCGAATTACGTAGTAATATTGACTTTAACAGGCTTAGTTTCTTGTCTAGGAGTATTTGGTTTTAGATTCTACATGTGTTTCTAATAATTAAATTTATTTCTAATGAGTTTCAAGAAATCATCTTCAATTACAATTTATAAGATGTTTATATAATTTTTATCAATATGAATTATCAATTTCTCCAATCATTTTGTTACCTCTAATATTGAATTCCATTATTCTTAGAATTAGCTTTAATTTGGTTAAGAATATATAACTAAAAAAGGATTTTAACAATTCCAAATAAGCTGTTTAGTTTTAAGATATAAGCCTGTCTACTATCAACATCTTCAACAATTTTAGAAAAAGCTTGTAAGAACTCAGTAAATTGAATTCTCTTTCTCAATCTAGGTCGTTATTGCTTTTTTGAAAGAAAAAGACAATGAAATAGATTTATAAATTCCTTATTAGATTAAATCCAATATGAGAACACATATCTTATATTTCTTACAAACTCATAAAAGTTTTCTATCCTGGTTTGAGAGTATCCTAAAAATAAACACTATTCAAAGTAGTCTTGTTGTATTTCATGCACAAATTGAATTTCTCATTCCTTTATCGAGACTCTTAAAGGTCTAACTATATTATTTTTTGAATTTTGAGATGGTCTTCAAAAAATTCCTTAATTACTTCTTCAAGCTTTAGCAATTAAAAATACTTTTGTATCTACATAGTTTGAATTACTAGTTTAATCAAATCCTGCATTTGTTTCATTTTTTTTTCAGTCCTTTCAATATGTTGCAAGTAATTTGATATTTTATTGAATGAGAAATCAAGATAAATTTATTCCTTATAGACCTTAAAAATTTGATTAGAATTATTTAGCTATCTAAACCTATTTAATTTTAGGTTAAATATAAAAATTTTAAATTAGATTTTACAAGCTATTAAAAATCATCCTTGCCATTCAATCAATCAAAATGCAAACTTTAAAGAATTTGAAATGGTAAATAAATTTTATTTTCATAGAAATTCATCATGAATTCATAATTTATGGTTAAAAGGCATTTAAAAGATGAACCTAATTCTTTAATTTTCCATCAGTAATCAGTAGGTAGGTTTTGAACCTGATTTATCTAAATAGGAATCTCATTATCATCTTAGATACATCTCTTCAACTAATATAGATGTTATCAAAATCTCAAGAGGCTTTAAAGCATTTTGAAATTATACTTTAATTGAACATAGGTTTAGTTGAAATTTATTTATGGAAATGTATTGCTTAAATTTAATCTTATCTAGACTTTTTCTTAGAAACTCAAGGCCAATATTTATAAGCTTAAAGTTGATATAATTCAGTACTCAAGCTTAATCCAATTAGTTCAGAAGCGTAGAATCAAAAAAGTAAAAACCTATTTAGAAATATTTAGAAATTTCTCTAATTTGTTAATACTGAAAGGTCTTTAAAAGTATAGATAGGCTATTAAATTTAATGCCTTGCAATTTGATAAAGATATTTTAGGATCTTTTTTCATTGCAAAATATGGTCAGAATTAATAAATTGGTTATGAAATTTAGTTGTTAACTTTTTCATAAGTTTAGTTTATTAATGAATATTTAATTCCTTTCTTTAAAAATTTTATACTAATAATCAATCTAGACCTTCAACAAATAACATTTTTGATGTATATTTAATTTAAATAACTCTGTATCAAAAAAATATTTTAATAAATAAAAATTTGATTTAAAATAATTACTAATATAATTTGTTTCAAAATGTTCTTTTATGAATAAGTGACATTTTGCCTTCAGGATTTTCTTCATACTCCTGTTTGTTGATAGCTAAAGATTAAAATGTTTTAAGTGATCCAAGCATAGATCCCCCAATCCAAGCACTATATTTTCTTTAGAAATCAGCAACAAAGTTGAATTCTGACCTCATAGCTCCTCCAGGATAGATTTGGCAAATGTCATCTTGCAATCTGGAGATTAGACCTTAAAACATAGAAGTGCCGCCTCCAAGTACCATATTGGAGAGCAACTCTTATCTTAATTCCTTATCACATCTCTATATAGAGTTAACAATCATCTATGGCAATGAAAAACTATTCTTATTCACAATAGCGGAATCGAATAATGCTTCAGAACAATGATACCTAATTTTAGGGGTTATATGAATGACTTGTTCATCTGGTAATTCATAGCTTTTTTCTTCTTCTGTGAAATTATCTTCTGAATTTATCTATTTTATGGAAATATATGAAATACTTGCATTTCATAGTCACTAGCAATATAACACATTTTTTCTTTAATGTCTTTTATAATCCACAATTTTTCTTCTTCTGAAAATTTATCAAGTGATATTTCATAAGTTTTGAGATCATTTTCCAAACATTAAGTTATTTCCGCTCCAGAGATATGAGAAANAGATGTTATCAAAATCTCAAGAGGCTTTAAAGCATTTTGAAATTATACTTTAATTGAACATAGGTTTAGTTGAAATTTATTTATGGAAATGTATTGCTTAAATTTAATCTTATCTAGACTTTTTCTTAGAAACTCAAGGCCAATATTTATAAGCTTAAAGTTGATATAATTCAGTACTCAAGCTTAATCCAATTAGTTCAGAAGCGTAGAATCAAAAAAGTAAAAACCTATTTAGAAATATTTAGAAATTTCTCTAATTTGTTAATACTGAAAGGTCTTTAAAAGTATAGATAGGCTATTAAATTTAATGCCTTGCAATTTGATAAAGATATTTTAGGATCTTTTTTCATTGCAAAATATGGTCAGAATTAATAAATTGGTTATGAAATTTAGTTGTTAACTTTTTCATAAGTTTAGTTTATTAATGAATATTTAATTCCTTTCTTTAAAAATTTTATACTAATAATCAATCTAGACCTTCAACAAATAACATTTTTGATGTATATTTAATTTAAATAACTCTGTATCAAAAAAATATTTTAATAAATAAAAATTTGATTTAAAATAATTACTAATATAATTTGTTTCAAAATGTTCTTTTATGAATAAGTGACATTTTGCCTTCAGGATTTTCTTCATACTCCTGTTTGTTGATAGCTAAAGATTAAAATGTTTTAAGTGATCCAAGCATAGATCCCCCAATCCAAGCACTATATTTTCTTTAGAAATCAGCAACAAAGTTGAATTCTGACCTCATAGCTCCTCCAGGATAGATTTGGCAAATGTCATCTTGCAATCTGGAGATTAGACCTTAAAACATAGAAGTGCCGCCTCCAAGTACCATATTGGAGAGCAACTCTTATCTTAATTCCTTATCACATCTCTATATAGAGTTAACAATCATCTATGGCAATGAAAAACTATTCTTATTCACAATAGCGGAATCGAATAATGCTTCAGAACAATGATACCTAATTTTAGGGGTTATATGAATGACTTGTTCATCTGGTAATTCATAGCTTTTTTCTTCTTCTGTGAAATTATCTTCTGAATTTATCTATTTTATGGAAATATATGAAATACTTGCATTTCATAGTCACTAGCAATATAACACATTTTTTCTTTAATGTCTTTTATAATCCACAATTTTTCTTCTTCTGAAAATTTATCAAGTGATATTTCATAAGTTTTGAGATCATTTTCCAAACATTAAGTTATTTCCGCTCCAGAGATATGAGAAAATTCTAAAGCATGCATGATTGGGAATCCTTAATAAATTGGAACAACAGTATTGACAGCATGACCTAATTCAATTGATAGGCCACTTAAAAATGTAATTAAAGTGTTTACCTGACTAGTCCAGTAGAAAATAATGATAAACTTGCTGAGTTCATGAATAAAACTGATTAAACTTTGAGATAATCAAAAAAAACTTCAGCAAGTTTTGATTTGTACTCTTTAGTATTCTTGACTTGATCAATGATTAATAAATTAACTTATTGCAATTCAGATATTTATAATCCATCTTCAAGAATATATTACCAGAATTCCTTCATTGATTCAACATTATCAATTTTCTATTTAAAATAAATATATAGATTTTACTCCATCTTTGATTGGATTGGATAACTGTACATTTAACTTTTTTTCCTTGATGACTTTTTTTAAATCTTGACCAAATAAGAGTTATGGTTTATTGTTTGGGTTATCATTATCATTCTAAACAGAGTGTGATCCACATTTATTATCATAGATAAGCTAAATTATATGATTTAATAATTACTCTTGGGTAATCTTCCCCAGAGATTCCAACTTTAATAGTATCAGTACCATTATCAATAACAACGATATCTTTTTAATCGTATTCACTTTCCATAGTGGCTCTTTTATTGGTTTTCATTTATATAGTTAATATATATGATTATTTATAATTATTCAATGCTAATGTTATTAATGAGCAGCTCCAAAAGGATTTTGATCGTGTCTCTAAAAAATAAGTAAATATATTTACAAGAGATGAATAACGTCTAGCTAAACCACCTGAGGAGTGATCTCCTTTAAGAGCAATAATTTTATGTTCAGTTTCCATAGGGTTTATTTCTTTGCTTCCGCATTCACAACACATATCTTCCTTAATGAATTTAAGGAAAAAGCATCCTATGATAGAGATACATCCAAATCCAATACCAATTAACCTGAAAATCATATATAAATAACAAATACCATTATTCAACTTTGAGTCCAAAATTACCATAAAGACCAATAGCTTTTGACCCAAATGTGACCATAAGTATTTATATACAAAAAATGATAGGTACGATCATCATGAATGCAGAGTGTTTGGATAATCCTTCAAAAATATTAATTTCATCATTGAATCTTCTGCTATTGAGAAAATTGAATAATTGAAGCATGATGAAAACATTAAAGACGTAAGTAAACTAAAAATTAATGAATGAATGTATACATGACGAGATGGTTCATGGCTTACTTCATAAAATACAGCATAGTCTCTGCCTCCTTCAGGAGTATTCAATCTACCACTGGCAATAAGAGTGCAACTAGTTTCATAATCACAAGGCTCACACTCTATCAAGTAACATTTTTTCTCATGACAAACACACTCTGATGATAAACAAGAATCACTTGTTTTTACATCTTTTGATTAAAAAATATTTGGAATTTCTTGCATTGGTTCTCCCTTTGAATCCTTATATTTCTTCAGATCATCATAAGTGACTTTGCATTTATGATCACTATACTTATATCTTATGCCTAATCCTCCAAAAGCTGTCTGATCATATGAATCATGATATTCCGGTAAAAATGAATCTCCAGCAAATACAATTATCAATACAACTGCTATTTATATCAGAGCTGTTCCAACTATAAATTTGAACATCTTTTTTGATATTATATATTCATTTCTATCATGTGGTTTACGATAAAGTAATTTTTCAGTAGGCGGTTCAGTAGCTAAGGCAAGAGATCCTAATGTATCCATGATTAAATTGACCCACAATAATTGAATTGGTTTCAAGATTTCTTAACTTAAAACAGCTGCTCCTATTAATGTTAATCCCACACTAACTAAATTAGCAGTCAATTGAAATCTCAAGAATTTTTTAATGTTATCATATACATTTCTACCCCACATAACTGCTTTAACAATTGAATTGAAATTATCATCTAAAAGAATAATAGCTGCTGCTTCTCGAGCAACTTCTGTTCCTGCAATACCCATAGCAAAACCAACATCCGCTTTTTTAAGAGCTGGAGCATCATTTGTACCATCTCCTGTAACAGCAACTACATGACCTCTTTCAATCAAACCAGTCACTAAGGCATATTTATCTTCAGGTCTACTACGAGCTAACACATCTAAATGAGGATATATTTTATCAAACTCTGAGCCATTAGCAATTGTATCAACTCTTACATCCTTATTTTCTTTCTTAGCTGTAGTACTATCTCTTGCACAAGGACATAATGCTGTTCTGCATTTTGTGCAAACAACACCTCCAATCTTTTATATAAAATCAGGTCCTTCCATAACAATTGATTGATCATCTCCAGGTGTAATTATACCACATTCTTTAGCAATAGCTCTTGCAGTCATTTTATTATCTCCAGTAACCATTCTAACTTTTATTCCAGCTCTTCTGCATAATTAAATAGCTCTTGGGACCTCTTATCTTAAAATATCTTTGATTCCCAAAACAGCAACAAGTGTTAAATCACTTTATTCAACATTGTAAACTCCTTTGTTATCTTTAGTTGTTAAATCTTCTCTTGCACTGATATCTTTATATGCTAAACAAATAGTTCTTAGAGCTCTTCCAGCCATAGTTTCAATGGCCTTTTCAACTTTTTATTTTAAATCTTAATTCATTGGAACAATTGATCCATTTCCTTTAGAATGATATTATGAACATGCAGCCAAAACCATTTCAGAAGCTCCTTTGCAAACCAATCTACGTCTTCCACCATCTAATTCTAGTACCATAGACATTCTTTTCCTTAAACTGCTAAATGGGAATTTAGTACTAGCAGGATATTTTTCTTTAATTTCTTCATAATTCATGGAACATCTTTCAATATATTCAAGTAATGCAATTTCTGTTTTAGATCCTTTAGGTTCAGGTCTAAGCATAGCAGATCCATTGACAATAGCACTCTAAATGAAATATTCTTAAAAGTTTTATGGGAAATAGGATGTCAATTATTATTTTTCCGAATATGTGTCAATTTCAATAATATCATCATTCCAAACATTAACAAGTGACATTTTATTTTAAGTTAATGTTCCAGTTTTATCAGAGCAAATCATTGAAGCTCCACCCATAGTTTCACAAGCTGCCATTTTTCTAACAAGATTTTAATCTTGAAGCATTTATTTAGTAGAATAAGCCAATGATAGAGTAACAGCCAATGGTAATCCTTCAGGAATAGCAACAACAACCACAGTGATTCCAATAATGAAATATCCAATGATTGTTACTACCATATAGTTTTCCCAATCATCATTAATTCCTCTCTCAATACCAAATCTTAGACACATAACTGAAACAATTAAAATAGCTGAAATTAATCCAAATTTACCAATATCTTCAGCAATTGCTGTTAATTTCATCTACAAAGGAGTAGCTATTAAATTAATAGATATAATACCTTCTGGCTCATCTTATCTCAACAATGCTGCAATTTTACCTGCACAAGAAGAATCTCCTACAACGAGAATAAGCATCCTTCCTTCACCACTTAACACTCTAGTTCCACTCATCATTATTGGTGATGGAACATCATGATGACCAGCAGTATTCTATTATATTAAAATGATATATATACTTGTCCTCCTTCTTCTTTTAATTAGTTCCTTTTATTTATACATTCACTTAACACATTTTTCTTGATTGGATCAGTTTCTCCTGTCATAGCACTTTCATCTGATGTTAAATCTGATGCTTCTAATACAAATCCATCTGCTGGTATTTCCATTCCTTCAAATATTTATACAACATCTCCAACTAATACTTCACTCATATGTATATCACATTTCTTGCCATTTCTAACTACAGTCACTCTTTTTCTTTCATCAGCTACTTCATTCAATTTTTAAAATTATCGTTCTTTTTAATAATCATTCACAGCATTTGCATTTGTTGATATAATCACTGCCACTAATATTGCAAATCCTATATTTATTTAATATTTTTAATACCTTCAATCCATGCTAATTTTCTATAACTTTCATCAGCAGTTGAAACATCTACTATAATACTGATCACTGCTGCTACACATAAAACTTTCATTGTAAAATCATTCAATGCACCAAGCCACAACTCACAATAACCTTTTGGTTCAATTTTTGGTTTCCTATTGTGACCAAATGCTCTCTCTCTCTCTGCTTAGTCCTACATCGTCAAACCATTCTTAAAATCTGTACATAGTCCTTCCTTTTATGTTTTTTCAATCTCTTACCTCTATCAACTTCTCTCCTAGCTCTTCTAGTTTGTCTACTTCCTCTGCAAAAACTCTTTCCTAGCACATATATGCAATTGAACACAACGTTTGCTTAGCTACTCGAAACTTTCCATATGGTTCACTCCCATCATCTTTCAGTTATTCCTGCTGCGTCATCGGGTCATCATCAGCCATTGCTTATTATTATTATTATTATAATCTTTTTTATTTCAAACCATATTAATATGAAACAGTTATACATTAATAATCATCAATATATTACATAATACATATCTACTTACCACAATCCTTCCATCTATTATTCTAATCTCATCCTTATATTCAATCCTCATATAAGTTCTTTGCTTTATTAAATATTCATCCCTTATTCTTTATCACCAATGCTTTACCCTTTATCTCATAAAAGCATTTCATTTATATAAATGAATGCATTATTATAATATATTATATTATATAAAAGTAAAAAGCCTTTCTTTTTTAATTCCATCACTATACCATCATTTTTAAGCAATATCTGATTCTTAATAATTGTTATTCAATTCAATTTAATATTGGGTTGCAATAAAATTCAAATAAATATTGCCCTATTAAAATTTAAGATCTTAGACCTAAAAGTCCTATTGTCTAATTAAACAAGTTTGACTCATTCTAAATCTAAGATTCTCATCACTAAAAATAAATTATCATTATATGAGAAAAAATAAATTCTTATCAAAAGATTTTTCATTAAACAAATTATGTTATTATATTAAATAAATCTCATTTTTTATTACACTTTCTTTAAGCTTATTTTAGAATCAAATTTCTTAATGAATTATAAAAAATAATTAATCAATGAAATCTTGAACTAAAAGATTACAAATTACTACAAATATTTGAATTCATAATCATTTTAAAAGGATTACAAAAAAATAATTAGTTATTTTATATATGAAAATTCTTATTAATTAATAAAAATTTAATATGTTTAATTATACTAATGTTGGATTTCTATGCCTAAAAATAATTGCCCTTCTTTGCATTTTAATTGGATACTTTATGAATTCATAAGAATTAAACAAAGCATAGAAAAATAATGGAAATCCATTATTGCTTGATAAAAAAGATTTTTTTTATTATGTATTTAGCAGAATCGTTTTAATTGTTGATGAAAATTTTAAAGGATTCGACTAAAATGATGTATATTATCATATAGATTCACAATTCAATATAAATTATGAAATTTTATACAATACTGTCATACATGGAATAAGTCCAATTGCATAATTACAATATTGGAATATTTAATACTCAACCCTAGATAGTGTGACATACTAATTATAAAAGCAGAATAAAACCAGCTATTTATCAAGCTATAAAGCTTACACAGATTATGATCCATTTAGTAAATTTTAGTCATTAAACGATGGTTCAGAATTAATTACTAAATTAAACTCAAAAGAGTTTGCATTCTATTATATTGATAATCTATAGCTATCCTCTATAGAATATGATAATTTATTTGCTTAATTAGATAATAACACAATGATTATTATACTTAAATTTGACAAAGTCTATTTTTATACAAATAGAACCAGATTATCTAAAGATGAACATACCAGAACTAAATATTCAATTGATTCTTTAACAGCCACTATAAGTTGTTTATTAGATTCTCCAATACCATTAGAAAATCATGGAATGTTATTGCCGGGTCTTTTTTATGAAACAACACCTGCTCAAGATATCAATCAAATCTAACTTCTTGATTATATGATGAATTTATACTAATTGTATGAACATTATAATTTGATTGAAAAAAAGAAATCACTTAAGTATTAAAAAGATTTGGACTTATTCAAAGAATAATTTGAATTGGTTTCTAATAGTAAAGATGCTAAATAGATTTAAACTTATTTAGATACACTAAAGAATGAGATTCAAGAACTAACTGTTGCTATAAATTCCGAGATAAGTGGTAATATCTTTGTACTTTTGTTGGGATTATTTTTATGTGTCTATATATTATATTTAATATTTTTTAAGCAGCAAGAGTTAGTTATTATTGATTGGTATATCATAGGATTAACTATAGCTTTTGCCTTTATAGAAATGAATTGGCTTAAAATAACAATATTTTTAATCTTACTATTAAAAATGAAATAACCAGTGATTTAAAATCTTTTAGGATTCTTACTTTTGATAATTGATTTCCCATTTTATTAAATAGTTTCAATAGGGAGTTTAGCTTTCTTATTTCTAAAACAAAAAGATTTAATTTCATCATTATTTTTTGCAGATAAAAATTTATCAAAATATGCAGCAGCTATACTTATAATAGTTATATTATGTTCATACGTGAAGTATTTATTAATTATTATAATACCTTTGATTATATTTTTATTTAGAAAAAATTTGGATGTTGCAATTTTGCTGATTTGTTGTTTTTGTAGGGCTTAAAATCTCTTGCCAGTAATATTATTGTCCTTTTAATATTTTAAAGAAAATGAACAAAGTTATTTTAAATATCCTGGTTATTTAATTATAGATATTTTATATATTACAGTAACTCATCCTGTACTTCCTAATAGTCCTATTCTATGCTAAATTGATGGATATTTGCATCTAATGGATATCATAATGTTAATTTGTTTATAATAAATGTTTTATCATTTTACTACTGAGATTAATAGTAACTTAGAAATTAATGAAAAAAGCATAATAACAAGTATTTAAAAGATTACTGAATTTAATGTGGAATATTTTGATAATATAATATTATAATTAATCATAGAAATAATATGGATAATCGAATTAATATTAACAGAAATTTTCTGTTATGATATGAAGCATATTGGAAATTAGTATTTTACATTACAATTCTTATGTTTAAATTTATTTATGTTGTTATTTTATGTAATTAAAGAAGGAGGAGGAAGGCAGGTTGAGTTATAATATGAAAAAACAAATAAATAAGAGTTAGAGACAAAAGAAATGTATGAAAATTAAATGAAAGAAATTGAAATTTGACTGAGATATTAATTCATGATGAATGATTTGAACATTTAATATTAAATATATCTTTATAAATGAAGCCATAGACTGTTCCTTAATCATTGGCATAAAGTGATAATTCATTGGATAAAAATCAAAATGAAAGTTAAGTAGATGAACCTGGAGATGAACATCAATTTAAAGTATATTCAGCAAAGGAATTAAAGAGTATTAAACTATAAGGTTTAATATGTTTATTTGGTGGGGTTGCTCTTCATTTTGTGCTTGGTACATTTTATCTTTGGGGAGGCATAAGTATATTGAATATGTTAATACAAAAGGTCCTTATGTTGCTGCCTATATGAAACAATATGATCGAAATGTCACATAATCTACACTTCAAATTGTATTCCCAATTTTAGGAATAGCCACTAATTCAGTTCTTTCATTTGGAGTTAAGTTAGCGTTTAGAATAGGTTTTTAAACTATGATCTGTGGAGCCGGATTTTTAATTTCGCTTGCATTTTTAATATTGTCTATCATTAATGATATTTATGGATTTATCTTGATATATTGTTTTATGATTGGTATTCCTACAGGATTAGTTTATATGTTACCAATAAGTAAATTTTATAATTATTTTCAATAAGTTTGTGGATGGAAATATTTTCCATTTAATAGAGGAATGGTTTCTGGATTGATTATTGCAGGTTATGGATTTGGAGCATTTTCATTTAACTTTTTATGCAAAGCTATATGTAACCCTAATAATGAAGACCCAGAATTGTCTTTTGAAGAGAATGGAAAAATAAAGAAATATTTTTCAGAAAGTGTTTATAAAAATGTTCCTTTAATGTTCAGGATGCTAGCATTGTAATTAAAAAAAATTGTTAATTTAGATCATATTTCTTTTTAACTATAATTGCAACTTTATTAGTAAAATATCCAAATGATTTGAATTTAGAATATTAATAAGCTTTAGGGGAAGGTTATAAAAAACCAAGTGGAATAAATCATGAGAAATCTGTCGATTATAATCCAACGGTAATGCATGCAGAATGCGAAACATTAGAACAAGGTTTAAAATCTAGACCATTCTGGTTTTTAGTAGTTATGGTGTTATGCTCAATAATTTTTGGTATGCTTTTAGCTAATTGCTATAAAGTATTTGGATAAACAGTAAAAATTAATAAAATTTAAATAAGCTTGGAATTAATGATGCTAAATTAACTGTTCTTGGTTCAGTTTAGGCAATATGTAATGGAGGTTCAAGATTTGGATGGGCAGTTTTATTTGATAAAATCGGTTTTAAAAAAGTTTATTTAATAATTGCAGTTATCAATTTAATTTGTACTGCATCTATTGGTTATATAAGTAATAGTTATACTGGTTATTTTATTATTTTGTGTGTATCAATGTGTTGTGAAGGAGGTTTATTTTCTTGTTATCCTGCAGTTAGTGCAAAAATATTTGGACATAAAGTAATATTATATAAAATAAATTAAATTAGGTAGGACCTATAATATATGGTGGATTATTCTTTGTTATTGGTTTATCTAATATGTTAGGATATTTATTGTACAAATTTGGAGAACCATCAATAGGTTTTGGTGGAATCTTTTGGATTTTATTTGGATTTTGTTGTGTTGCTTTCATATTCGGAATATTTTTTAAAGAAGAACATGATTGGAAAAAAAAATGAATAAATTATTAAATATTTCCCTAAATCTTATTTTAATAAATCTAATGTTTATCATTAGAAAAAAGAATAAAATTAAATTAAGGGAGACTAAAGTAGGAGATTTTATATTCTAATAATAATTGAATATATTTTTTTAAATATATTGTTTAATTTAAATATTTATTATATTTAGGATGACTGATACTAAAGGATCAATGGTGGCACCATTATCAAAATATAAATTAGTATTTTTAGGAGATTAATCTGTTGGGAAAACTTCAATTATAAATAGATTTATGTTCGATACATTTGATGGCAAAGATCATGTAATTGAGTTTGAATATTGAAGCCTACAGTTGGAATTGATTTTATTTCCAAGACCCTCTACTATGAGGATAGAACAATTCGTTTGTAATTATGGGATACAGCAGGATAAGAGAGATTCAGATCCCTTATACCAAGCTATATTAGAGATAGTGCAGTTGCTGTAGTTTGTTATGATGTTGAAGGTATATTATGATAATATTAAGTTAAATAATCATTTGATAGTGTTGTTAAATGGATTGAAGATGTACGTCTAGAAAGAGGAACCGATGTAATAATCTTTTTAGTGGCAAACAAAATTGATCTTGAAAATAGGTAATTCATTATATACTAATTGTTAGAGTTGTATCTACAGAATTAGGGGCAACATTAGCTAAAGAATAAGATGCTCATTTTATTGAAGTTAGTGCTAAATCAGGAAGCAATGTTGAATTACTATTTAAATAAATAGCAGCTACTCTCCCAGGTACTGAAACATCTTAAATGGTTAATTCTGTTGTTAACAATCCTACTTAACGTATTATATTATATTTATTGATAGCTAATAATGTAAAATTAGACAACCCATAAAATTAAGATTAGGAAAAAAATGATCGAAAGTCATGTTGTTGATTTCCTCATATTATAATATATATATATCGATTTCATAACTTTTGTTAGTAATAATCATTCTCGTTTTTGAATTCATGATATTTCTAATGTGTTTATTAACTTCTCCTTTTTATTCCTTAAAACATACATACCCTCTCATTCCCTAAACAAGCTTCTGTCATTTTATTTTCAGATACCTATTCAAAATATTTGTTTAAGCCTTTAAAGTTAAATCGGTTAGCTGCTTTATTCCTACAAAGATAAGTTTATTCTTAAAATTTTAAATCTCCCCAATTTATTTATTGAGGGATTATTTATAAAGATTATCTTTATTCTTTATCTCTTTTGATATGTGGTTCATAATCTCCTTTAGATTTTAATAATATAGATTTAGTTATCCAGTGCGATCTTAATATTTTTTTTGCTTGCATTAATTTTTTTTACTATTCAACAAAAAACTTTTACATGAGCAATGCTTTAAATAATTCCATCAACTATAACCCTTTAAAGAATGCTACTGCAATTATTGAATTTGAATTATTAATTGTATCTCTAGAATCAATAATTTAATTTATTGATGATATGAATTGTTCCAAAATAGATTAATATTGATTTAATTTTTAATTGAAACTTATCGATTGAAATTTAAGAGTCTTTAAAATAAGCATTTCAATTAAGCTTTCAAATTATTATCTAATTTACATTAATACTTATATTGATGTTAATTATGAATCCTATTCTTCAATTCTTTAATTATTTTATACATTTAAGAAATCTAAAGTAGTTAAGAATTTATAAAAATCATCTAAATCATAATCTTCTTTCAAAATGTCTATATTTTATACATTAATCATAGTAATTTTTTATTCATCATCATTATGAATTGATGGTGAAAAAAGTGATATTTTTTTTGTGCATTTAGAACTCTTTCTCATCTAAATTTCTTCCTCTTCTTCTAATTCAAAATCCAAATTAGCCAACAAATTGAATTTTGAATAATTAGAAATATTTTCTGAATCTTAATCATAATAAATATGTTCAGCTCTATCGCCCTATTCTATTTTTCATTAACATCTTGTACGCTCAAATTCAATCTGAGGTGTTCTAAGATATGGTCCAGGTATTCCTTTTTTCTTTTATTTTATGCAATCTTGATTTATCTCTTCTGAAGGATCATCATTTTCATCGATGAAGGCATCAGCCATCATATTATGAAAATTAGAAAAATCAAAGTTCAAATATCCATCAAAAGTCTCTTTTAAGTCTTCAGTCATTAGTATTTATTTATTTTATATCCCTAAATTTATTTATATAAAGCTTCGATGTTAATCATACATATTAATTAATTTTTATAAATAAATTCCAACTATTTTCAATTCATTATCAAACCTTCATAACTACAATTGATATTCATATAAAATAACTAAAAATATAAAATAATTTATAATTATATTTGTAAAATATAAGTATTTATAAATTTAGAAGAACTTAATTCCAAAGTAAATCAAATTTATAAAAACAAGGCAGTCATATTTTATTTGAATCCAAATTTTATTTACAATATTAAACTATTTATTAAAATAAATTATAATGAAAGCCAAAACTAACTTTAAAAATCAATAAGCTATTCTACTTCCACCAATAGATAGAAGATAAACTCAACCAATTTAGTTTGATTAAATTAATTAATTGATCAATTAATCATTATTTAATCCTAAATAAAATAGAGCTTAATCTCTATATTCTTTAGATTTATAAGCTCAGAACTCAGCAAAAATTTCCGCTAAAGTGTCTCCCAGAAAAAATATAAAGGATTATAACAAATGGTATGTTCCTCCAAAAAAAAGGTTTCATGATTTAAGAAAAGAGTCTGAAGAATTTTAATAGGAACAATATATTATTAATACATATGCATAATAATAATTGAAATACAATCAAATATTGAGAGAGTCAAAGCAATTAGCATAATTTGTTGATGAAGTATTAATGATATTGAAATAATTTAGTTTTATAAAAAACATAAACGAAGCCCTTCTTTCATTCATTGAGTTAATATTAATATTAATAAATTTTAAGTCTAATATTTTAATTTTGTATTAAGAAATTCATAAATGTCAAAATTTTTACAACTTCAACTTTTAAGCATAGGATTTGATTGAGATTGATAAATCAATTCTAGCATTAAATCTCAGGGAGTTACATTTTATTAGGATAATTGATTTTTCTGCAAATCTAATTTTAATTCTATGTTAGGATTCTTTTATATTTTAAAAAAATACTATACTAGATGTAATTTAAGATTATCGAATATTTAATACATAATTATCATGAAGTTATTATTATCACACAATTATATAAATGCTCGATATCATATTATTGTTAAGTGAAGATTAAAAATACTATATTTTTTATAAATTAATATTTATAAACAGAATAAATCTTAGAATTGAGAATTTTAAATGAAATTATTAGAAAATATAGAATGTAAAAGTTATGCTTAAAAGTTTATTTTCAAAAACCATTATAAAATGAGATCTTATAATTGTATCAATTCTAGTATTAAAAATATTTAAAATGAGATATATATCATTAAATATTTCTCAATAAAAAAAAAAGTCCTAAGCATCAAAATTTTTTATAATAGAAAATAAGTCTTATTTAAACAAGTTTATTCTTTTCTGTCTTAAAATTTTTAACTCAGGAAGGCTGAGAACTAAGAGTTTTTTGAATAATATTTCAAAAGAGATTTATTATTTTGATTATTAATAAAAATAAATAAATATTTTATTATAATTAATAGCATTTATACTTAAATGAGGAATGGTTTATAAAAAGAGGAAACTAACAGAAACTATGACACGTCAAAAATAATATTTCCTTTTGATAATATAATGATGAAGAAATTAAGAACATAATAATTTATTATAAAAGATGAAAAAATAGAATGTAGCATTTGTTTAAAAATAATAAATATAAATGAAATTGGATGTTAAATTCGAGAATGCAAACATACTTTTCATTAAATTTGTTTATAAAGATGGTATAATATTAATAATAAATGTCCTTTGTGTAGGTAGTAAATTTGAAATTTATATTATATGTATTTATAATCAAAATTATCCTGATAATAAGTCAATAAATGTATTAATATTAATAATTTAATTATAAAATAGTTTTTTTAATTTAGTAATATCAATTTGTATATTTAAATTTCCTTATTATAAAACATGTTCTATACATATATTTTCTAAATCCTATACCGTTTTATTTAATAATTTCATATCTCTGGTTATTTTTTACTTACCATTAAATCTGTAAGGTTAAATTTAAGCCATTAAATGTATAATATTAAGCAAATCCCCTCCAGCAGCATTTTCAAAAACTAATGAAATTTTATCAACTAAATCAATAATCGATAAATCTTTCCAAATAATAACTTGTTTAAAAAGTTTGTATTATTTATAAGTTATTACTTCATAAATATTAGAGCAATCGATTTAAAAGACTAACAATAAAATTATTAATAGTTATTAATGAATTAAAGTTAAAAATTTATGTTCTAATAGAAATTCAGATAAGGGTATTCCATAAATGTTCTAGTATTATTTTTAGGTTTTTATAAAATTAAGATGTAGCATCTAATATCTTTATTTTTAACTATCATTTTAATACTCAATAACTTTAGAAATGTTGTCGTTCCTCTTACCTTTATACATGGCATTCAATAAAGAGAACCTGTTATTAATAGTAGTGGTGCATCTTTTTTCTAACTGTTCTTTTTGAAAAGATGATTATTTTTCAACATTTGATTTTGTTGAATAATCTCTTTTTAAAATTTCTATGATTTTTTTGTTATTTTTTATATCTTGTGTTACTTCTAATTATTTTATATATAGTTTTTTCCTATTTCTTTGGTCAGTTTATGGTTTTGAATATCCATAAACTCTTAGTAAGCTTCGATTGAAGACTAACTATTCAATTGGTTAAGGATTATAAGTTGATGTGCTTTTTGCTGGCCTATTAATTTAAGAAATTGGGTTATTTAAAATTTCAATAATTTTTTGCTTCTCTTGTAATTTAAGCATATAATATTAATATTTAATTAAATTGATATTAATAATATTTGAAATATTATAAATTTCAATACTCTCCAATTAAATCTCTATAATTGATTTTTTAATTAATTCTTCTTCTTAAATTTCTGTTGGTGAGTGAGGATTCTTAAGTCTTAAAAGTAATTTAATATATATATTACTTCTTATTGAATTTATTACAATTAAGTTTAAGTTGGTTATTAAATTTTAGGAGGAGAGGGTAATTAAATTTTTTATTTTTTTTTTGTTGAATTTCTTAACAAATCTAAATCTTGTTTGATTTCATCATCCATTAAATTGAATCTAAATGCTATTATAAAAATTTAGTTAGATTACTATATTAAATTTTATTATCTTTGGTAGCAACAAAAGTAATATTTTTTTCTCTATTTCTGCAATCTTCCTATTCTATAATAGGACGTTATTTTAAGACAGGAGGTTCTTCAACTTTTTTATTAATTTTTGGTTTCTTAATGTTTTTAGAACAAGTTAAACAATGATACTGACTAGTTTCAAATTCTATTTGAATATTTTAATTTCTATTTTTTTATTCACAAATAATATGATTCTAATAAAAAGAATTTGATAAAAAAATGTTACCCATTTTTAGCAAGAGTCACATTAAATCCATCCAGCCTCATCATCATATGATCCATAAACCTTAAATAGATTATATAATACTTATTCACAAAAATCGCAATAATTTCCTTTATTATATAATTTAGAACATTTATCACAAAAGAATAATATATCATTTCTTTTAGATTTAATTTTTTTGTCTCCCACATTTTTGCATTGTGGATTATAACATTTTTTTTGATTTTATTATGGTTCATCATCATCAACTGTAATAGGATTATCAGCATTGTTTTTTTATTTTTGATTAAAATTGATTGATTGTAATGGATAAGTGTTTAAGAAATTAGTTTAAGCAAACAATGGAGTTGGATTAGGAAAGAATTATAGTAGTTCAATAGCTTTTGAATTAGGAGTCATATCTAGATAATAAGTTCAAATAACTCAAATATATATGTTATATAAATAAGAGTAAGAGGGATATAAATAATAACTTACTCAACATATTAGGTGTAGGAAAAGCATCTTTTGATGAATTATTTAAGTTTAAACTTTAAGTTAGATTTGGAAACATTTATGATTGATAGAGCTATTAAATTTCTGGGTTGAATAATGCTTTCCATAATTATTATTGTTGCTATTAGCTAATATAAATAATAATAAGCATATGAAATTAATATAGGGATATCATTAAAATTATTAGTATGTTATAAATAAGATGAATATCATACCTAAAAAATAGTGAGCAGATATCTAAATCTTAAAAATTGCCTAAAAGAGGATTTTGAGAATTATTATTCATTCCTTAACTCATTTTTTATATTGTTTAAATTAAAAAGAACCTGAAATTTATATAATTACATCTTTAGAAATAAAAACAGAAATATATATTAAAGAGTTTAATTTAAAAATTTTCATATATAAATCTACCTATATTAATATTAAATTTCAGGATATAATCTATAAGACAGAGCAATCATCATCTCCATCAAGATCTTAAATTTCATGAATCTCTTAATTATTCATAGTAAGTTCTTCAGTTATTCCTGAGATGTCTTACAAAACATCAGGTCGATTCAAAGTTTCTAATAAAAACGATTATGGATTCTTTTCTAATGCCTCTAAAATTTATTAAGAACATGCAACGCAACTAAATTATATTTATTATATACTTTTTAAAAGCTTTTCCATAAAATAATCGAATATCAAAATCTGATAATTAACCTCTTAAGAAATGTGGTAATATTCCTAAATCAGTTTATTACAATTATTCTGAATCATCAGAAGCTGGTGTACCATCTAATAACGGACTATGAATTAAACTAACAAATAATTCAGATGAATAAGCTGAAGCCAAAAATGATAATCCTGGACGAGTTACTGTACATTATTAATCAAGAGTTCTATCTTTCATTGAATTTCCAGGAGATGCAATATCATTACAAAAATAACATGCTAATCTTTCACCATGTATTTCAGGATTATATTTTTTTAAAGATATACCATGTCTTATAATCAGAAATGAATCAAATCCTAAAGCTACTGAAAAACACATCTTTCCATAAGCATTACTTAATACTGTTGGTAACCATCTTGATTCTCTTGAATCTGTTAATAAAAATATAGCATCATGACTACTTACCAATTCACTCAATTTTTAAAAGGAATTCAATGTTGATTCAACTTACTATTCTGTCACAAAATGGCCAGGCATTGGTATTTAAAGTTAATATCCTTCACTTTCTATTTCAGGAAATATCTTTTTTAATTTTTCTGCTGCCACTTCTGCCTTTGGTCTTCCTCCTTTAGTAGAATCTTCAAAATCATATAAACTTTATCTAACTGGATTACTATATGATATTCTTCCATAATCAACAAATGTTATCTTTCTTATTCCCCATCCTATTAAATTTCTTGATAATTGACATCCTAATGTACCTGCTCCTATTAATAATACTTTCTAAGCTTAAACTTTCTCTAAATCCAATTCAGGTAATAATCTCCACTTCATTAATTTTATATTCAAATCTACAGCTTCTTTTGCTAAACTAAAATTTAAATTTATATTACGATTATTCATCCATAAATGATTTCAAATCTATTTTCTTTTCCTATAGATAACCCTCAATATTAAATGCCTTATATTATCCATTTTATTTAATTATTTTTGATTCACTTAGATTTAATTCTATATAAATTGAATTCTTTAATTAGAATTAATTTTTATTTATTATCAAACTATCCTTTATTACTATTATTTTAATATTTTTAATTTATTCTTTAAAAGAGTTACTTGTTATCAGATAAGCTATAAAATTATTGAATTATCCATTCAATTAAGGTTAATTAAAAGAATCAAAATATAAAAAGATTACATCTTCTTTATCTTTTTAATACTCATCGAATTGTACCAATTACAAACTTTCCTTATTCAAAATTATAAATGAATTGTTGCATATCTCTTTCTATTATTATTGAATTATCAGAGATAATTGCTATTGAAATTACTAATTTTTATCACCTAAATAATCTATTAGATTTTTTTAAAGGACCTACTATACATTTTCAATTAAAAATTAAGGTACAAACAATTTATAGTAGAATAAATATTTCTTTAAATCTGCAAAAATACTCATTCTTGCTTGAAATAGATTAGGTTTCTCATCCTTTTAGAATGAATCAATCATTTTTTGAAATGCTTTTTAAGTATAATCTAAATGATCAAATTCTTGATATGCCTCAATAGTGTTGTAATTTTAGAATTATATTTTGGAATAAACTTCAAACGGACCAGATTTGTTGATTGTGATATCATCTTAGAATGAATAAATATCCAAATATAATTAAGATGTTTTTTCTGGATATGGATTTATTTTAGTTTTTACTAATAAAGATCTCTCTGCATCATCTAATTTGTAGATTTCAATTTTATTCCTAGATAATTAAGACCAAAATCCAATATCAATCAATGGTGAAAATGGAATAAATTACATTTTTTAATAAATAATTATAGTCAACATGGGCCATCAAAGAAGTCTTAAACTGTAATTTATCTCCTAAATTTCCTCTCTCTCTATTGAAACCAATCTTTTCCATATATATTTTCAACATAATCAGTGAAAGTCACTAATTGATATGCATTTTATTTTTAAGCTGATTAGCTTATTCTTTGTATTTCTACTCCTGTAAAAAATTCATCAACATCATTCTTATCATTTAATTCTATTTTTGGTTGTATTTCCCTTTTTCGAAAACGAAAAGGACGAACTTCTTTTACTTCCTTCTATTATTCATCACTTTCAGTCTTTAAAAGCCGAGTGTTCTCATCACTATTTATTTTTTGACTAAAAAAGAAGCGTGATTTTTTAGAAGATTATTAATCTAACAGATTGTCAAGACTATCTAAATTACCCTAAGGGGAATTAAAGTCTGTAGTAATAGTATAATTGGATTTCTTAAGAGTCTTTGCAGATTAATTATTTGGGTCCATGTCTAGTTTCAAGACATTATTAGAGTATTAAGAAAATGTTGTTTTTCTAAGAGACATCACTTTTCAATATTAATTAATTTATTCTTTATACCAGTTTTAGAATAAATTATTAAAGCTTTTAAACAAAAATAGAAACCATTTATTGTTTCAGTAATGGTCGCTATTTTTGCATTTAGGAATGAGAAGATTTTATTTTTAAATAGAACTTTGGTTAAGAAATACTAAAACTTAATTTCATCACCTTAATAATAGTTTTTTGTTTAAAAGTAAAGTAGTGAAATCTTAAAACAACAACTTTCAGTATCTTTGGAGTTTCCAAAAAATAAATGAAATCTTTTTGCATTATTAATCATTTAAAATTAGGCAAGATCAATAAAATCTTATTTTAATTGTTTTTCAACAAAATAGTGATAAATTAACTGATTTATTTTTTAATAAATTACAATAAAGATTTTATTTTAAACTGCTAAGGCTAGTTCTAAAATAAATACAATATATTTATTTAGTATTGTTTTATAATGTAAATTAATTGTGAAAATTAGAAATTGTGTATAATTCTAATATCTAATAGAATTATATAAACTATATTCTATTTAAAGAGAATATGAAAGAATAGTATTGAAGCAGTCAATATAGCATCACTATTTAAAAAGAAATCAATAATATGATGGAATCTCATAATTAATGAAAGAATTTAACAAGTGTATAAATATTTTGATTTGAGGGAAATTTTTAAATAAATTAAATAACAATGTAATTAGGATAGAGATTAAAAGAAGCTACTGAAGGATAAATAGTATAAAGTGGAAATAAGATTGGAGGAGCTTTTAAGATAGGAAAGCCTGTGTATTAAGAGAAGAGATTGAAATTATTTACTGAGATATACCAACGGCAAAAGGTTGAATTGGAGGCTAGAGAAAAGACTCCAATAATGATAACTCTAAAAGATGGAAAGAAAATAGAAGGTTTGAATAATAAACTAGAGTAGGTAAAAAGTGGGTTACTACTCCATTAATGATTGCTATAGGAATTAGTAAGAAATTAGCTGAAAATATGATTGCTGCAAAAGTGATTTATGATAGCTTATTTGAGAAAAGTATAAATATAAATACGATAATAAAGATTTTGTTGATGTAGATCATGAGGATTAATAATAAGCATCATAATTAAATATGAAGCCAGATTATTTGATTTGGGATCTGAGTAGACCATTGGAAGGAGATTGTTAATTAGAATTATTAAGTTTTGATGATAATAATGGTAAGGAAGTATTTTGGCACTCATCTGCCCACATTTTAGGATCAGCATTGGAAGAAGTTTATGGATGTCATTTATGTATTGGTCCAGCAATAGATGGTGGATTCTTTTATGATAGTTACATAGGAGATTATAAAGTTACTTAGAATGATTATGTAAAAATAGAGAAAGCAGCTATGGATTTAGTAGGATAGAAATAAGAATTTTAAAGAGCAGTCTTAACCAAAGATGAATGGTAAAATTGATATAAAATAAATATTATAGTTTAGAATTGTTTGGTACTAATCCATTTAAGAGACAATTGATAACTAATAAGATTCCAGATGGTGCTATGACTACTGCTTATAGATGTGGTAATTTGATTGATTTATGTACTGGTCCTCATTTACCTAATACTAGCTATGTTAAAGCATTTTAAATTACTAAAAATTCAGCTGCATATTGGTTGGGTAAGAATACTAATGATGATTTGTAAAGAGTATATGGTGTTTCATTCCCTAATAAAAAGTTATTAGATGAATATGTTAAAATACAAAAAGAATTAGCTTTAAGAGATCATAGAAATGTAGGAAAGAAGTAGAATTTGTATCTATTTCATCAATTATCTCCTGGATCAGCTTTCTTTTATCCAAGTGGTGCTCATATTTATAATACTCTTATGAACTTTTTAAGAAGACAATATTATATTCGAGGATATTAAGAAGTTATTTCACCAAATATTTTTAATGCTCAACTCTGGAAAATAAGTGGTCATTATGATAAATATAAAGAAAACTTATTCTTCATTAATATGGGAGAAGAAGGAGAATATGGATTAAAACCTATGAATTGTCCAGGACATTGTTTGATGTTTGATATGATTCAACACAGTTATAGAGATTTACCTGTAAGATTCGCAGACTTTGGTGTTTTACATAGAAATGAAGTACATGGTGCTCTAAGTGGATTGACTAGGGTTCGTCGTTTCTAATAAGATGATGCACATATATTCTGTAGAATGGATCAAATTTAAGAAGAAATCAAAAGTTGTCTTGAGTTTTTAAGTTATATCTATTCACTCTTTGGATTCGAATTCAAATTATATCTAAGTACTCGTCCTGAAAAATTTTTGGGAACCAAAGAGGTTTGGGATAATGCAGAATATTAATTAGAATAAGGATTGAAGAAATTTGGAAAACATTTTGAAGTTAATCCTGGAGATGGTGCTTTTTATGGACCTAAAATTGATGTTAAATTGTATGACGCCTATAAAAGAGAACATTAATGTGGTACTATTTAATTAGATTTCAATTTACCTGAAAGATTTAATTTATAATATAGAGCAAGTGAAGATGTTTAAGAAGTATAAAAAGATAAAGAATAAGTTCATAATGAATAAGTTTAGGTTGCTTAAGAAATTATAGATGTATTTCGAAAGGCTTCTCATTAATCAGATCCTGACAATATTTCCACTCCACCATAACATCCATAATAATAACCTACTGAAATTCCACCAATAGATAATGCTCCATAACATAAAAATTAAAAAAAATTAAAAAAATCATAAAATTAGCAATAATAATAACAATAATAATAATAATAACAAAATTAACCTAATAAAGCAAAATTATCTGAAGAAATAATTGAAATAGGTTCAAGTTAAGGATTATCACAACATGATTTACACAAAGTTTTAAATGGTATTTCTTCATTTATTATGTATCTTAGAAAAAAAATATGAATTAGGATATCATCATTTGAAAGCAGGTTTTGCAAGGCCAGTCATTGTTCATAGAGCTATTTTGGGATCTTTAGAAAGAATGATTGCAGTTTTGACTGAATAATGTGGAGGAAAATGGCCATTTTGGTTATCTCCCAAATAATTAGTCTTATGTCCAGTCTCTACTTATTATAAGGATGTTGCAGAAAAAATATCTGCTAGACTTAGACTTGAAGGATACACTGTTTCTACTGATGAATCAGATTAAACCTTAGCCAAAAAGGTTCGTAATGCTTAAATCTCATATTTCAATTTCGTTGGAGTTATTGGAGAAGAAGAAGTACGTGCAGGCGTTATTGATGTTAGAGATTGTGAAAAAAATAATAGAATTGTAAGTTTATACTTTTAATATTCTAGGGAAAATTAACTATTCCATAATTGTGTAAATTCTTTGAGTCCTTAAAACCACCTAAATCTAATGTGGAAATTGATATTCATGAACATGATGATTCTCATTTGAAGTTAAATGATGAATTATAAGAAAAAATGTTCCTTCATGGAGATGGCTTTGCTGTTGGATAAAAAGATTATGATGAATTTGCTAAAATTAAAGACATTGATCCGGCTCTTTAGAATTTGGTTAGATGGCATAAATATATGACTCATTTAACTAAAAAAGATTAAGCACTAGAACAAATTCAATAAGTAGAATAAAAAGAATAAAAACAAGAATGAAACAAATTAAAAATAATTCATATCTTAATTATTTTACATTTTATAACAATTTTAGATACATCAGAGAATTCGAAATATACCTGAAAATCTATCGTTTCTTCCTTGAATTGGATAATGAAACGAATTATTATGAGTATAGACAAACAATATTCTTGATTAGACTTATCCAATTCTTTAAATCTCTTTGATATCATTCTTTTCTGAAACTCTAGAATACTAAAAATATATACATATTCTAATATTAGGTATACATTCCAAAAGGTGCTAATCTATTGCTACTTGTATTAATCATTTCATCATAATCTTTCGATTTTTTTTCATAATTAACAGTAATATAAATTGCTTATCCCTTTCTATTGTACTTAATCTATTTAATTTTTCCTTCACACCATTTGTTAGCTTTATCTAAAACATCTAATTTCATGTCAATCTCTAACACTTAAATTTTCAGATTTTAGTTCCATATCTTGAAGTTTTATAATTTTATTTAGTATTCTTTATTATCTTTCAAAATGATTTGTAGTTATTCATCAACACTTAGTGTTGGTATTAGTAGTTCATCACTAAACACAAATTTACAAATTGGGCAATTTTGCTTTTTAATTTAGGTACTTAAATACTTAATTGACAAGATGACTTTCAAATAAACACTTTTTACAAAAAGAATGGCTGCAAAGAGTAGTAACGAACTTAATAAAGTAGTCTTTGCATAATGAGCATTTATATGGTTCTCGACATTAGCCTCTAAAACTTAATTTTACTTTAAATCAAAAATTAGAATACTTTTTTTTTTTATCTTATAATCATCTAAATTTGTTTATGATCTTCTTTATTGAAGGAACTTTTTCTTGAGGTTTTTAATAAACTTAATATTTCCCAACTCTTCCTTATATTTCATACCCTTTAAATTTAATAATTTAATATTTCTTTAAAATTTGATGAGTAAAATTCTAGAGAGTTTAATATATAAAAAAAAGGGATCAATTTTTTTTATTTTCACTAAATTAAAAAAAATATGAATTTTTTTGAATTTTTGAACGATTATTTAAGAAATTATATAATCATTATATAAAGAATGAAAATGATTTTTAAAGGAGAAAATTATTTAAACATTTTTTTTTCTTTCTAAAAATTTCATATTTAGCAGTTAGGATTAATAGTCTACTAATTATTTAGAATATATGCCTTTAAGATTTATTTATAAATTTAATTAGCTATAACTCGTTAGAAAATTAGAATTCCACTTCTATATTTTAAAGTTTAATCTTTATATAAAAAAATAAATAATTTAATATATTATAAATAATAATAAAATTTATTAAAGAATTAAAATGTTTATAAAAAAAATGTTCATTAAGTGAGAAATAAATAATTATTGAATTTTTAATTTAATGCACATTTAATATAAAGTCTGGATTTAATTATGGGAAATTTTAAATCTTTTTTTTAAAAAGTTAAAAACATATGGTAAATTTTTCAGTGGATCAGATTAGAGAGATCATGGATAAATAAGACAACATTAGAAACATGTCTGTCATTGCTCACGTTGATCATGGTAAATCAACACTTACAGATTCATTATTATGCAAAGCCGGTATTATCGCTTCCAAAGTTGCTGGTGATGCAAGAGCAACAGATACAAGAGAAGATGAAAAAGAAAGAGGTATTACAATAAAGTCCACTGGTGTTTCCCTTTATTATGAATATGACATTTATGACAATAAGACATTAGAGAAATTTTTAATCAACTTGATTGATTCTCCAGGACATGTTGATTTCAGTTCAGAAGTTACAGCTGCCTTAAGAGTTACAGATGGTGCCTTAGTCGTTGTTGATTGTGTTGAAGGTGTTTGTGTTTAAACAGAAACAGTGTTAAGATAAGCTATGTAAGAGAAAATTAAGCCAGTTGTTATGGTTAATAAGATTGATAGAGCTATTTTGGAATTAAAACATGATGGTGAAACAATGTATTAAAACTTTGTTAGAGTTGTTGATATGGTCAATGTTATTATTAACACATATTAATAAGAAGATATGGGTGATCTTCTTGTTCATCCAGAACTTGGATCAGTCTCATTTGGTTCAGGAAAAGAATGTTGGGCTTTCTCATGTACAAGATTTGCTAGAATCTATGCTAATAAATTCAAGGTTGAACCACTTAAATTATAAGAAAGATTATGGGGAGATAATTATTTTGATGCTGAAGGAAAATGTTGGAGAAAAGACAGTGTTAGTGGATCAGGAAAACCAATGAAGAGAGCTTTTGTTGCTTTCATCATGGACCCAATCTGTAAATTGGCTAATGCTGTTATGGAAGGTAATATGGAAATGGCT